GTCTGCATCCGAGTCTAAGTTTCTTCTTGGTTTCACTTTCACTTTCAATCCTAGCTTTCAATCCTAACTTCTTTCCCACAGTCCATATCCGAGTCTATGTCTAGGCTTTCGATAGCTTCTTTCGGCACCTTTTCCGTCCGGCTTTTCCCTAGGCTCTTTGCTAGTCTCTCTCTCCGGTATTTTCCCACTTCTTCCCGTTTCTTCCCGCTTCTTCCCTCCTAGGTTTCCTATCCGAGTCACGGCACCATTATGTCGCTCCCCCTCTTCGCGGAGGAATGACACAGGACCCTGCGCTGTTCTTTTGTCTGCTCGGCCCTCCCCGGGTTTGCTGCTGGTTCTTCCCGGGTTGGCTACCGACCCTTCCACCTCCGTGGAAGGGCGGTTCCCCCTGCCACTTTCCCCACTTCCGCGGGGGAGCGGCACACCGCCGGCTGGCTCTCTTGGGGGCTGCTCAGGTGTTCCCCTTAGATGTTCCTGGTGCATGTTGTCTCTCTCCTCCTTTATAGTCCTCTTCCACCAATCCCAACTCTGCTACCCACACGCCGAGTACACTGCTCTCCTCCAATCAGGAGCAGGATCAGCTCCTGCAGGTCATCACTCAAGTTGGTGAGAGGCAGCTGTGTAGAAGCTGTTACTCCCTTCTCAGCGCCATATTGTGGGAGAGCAGATGCATAGAATAAGTCTTAATTCCAGTAACAGTCTAGTCCGAGTTGCTCCCCACAACCAGTCCCTTCAGACTTTTTTTTTTGGACAGGCAGAGTGGACAGAGAGAGAGAGACAGAGAGAAAGGTCTTCCTTTGCCATTGGTTCACCCTCCAATGGCCGCCGCGGCTGGCGCGCTGCGGCCAGCGCACCGCGCTGATCCGATGGCAGGAGCCAGGTACTTATCCTGGTCTCCCATGGGGTGCAGGGCCCAAATACTTGGGCCATCCTCCACTGCACTCCCTGGCCACAGCAGAGAGCTGGCCTGGAAGAGGGGCAACCAGGACAGAATCCGGCGCCCCGACCGGGACTAGAACCCGGTGTGCCGGCGCCGCAAGGCGGAGGATTAGCCTAGTGTGCCACGGCGCCGGTGACTTTTTTTTTTTTTAAAGATATTATTTACTGTATTTACTATGTAAGAAAAAAGAAATATATATACGTTGGTATATATCTTGGAACCACTAGATCATATGTCATATAAATGATCAATGTATTTATAGTTAGTTACCAACCAGTTCCTCAAAGTGGTTTCCTACCAGCATAAGTACATAAAAGTCCCAGTTACTATCATTTCCACACTCCCAAAACACTAGTTCAGTGTTTAATCAACATCACAAAGTTTAATATGTCCAAAAATGAACTCTGATCTCTTCCCAACAACCACCATGGAAGGTACTCCAATAATAACATTTTTATAACAGGGGTGGTAGGCGTTGTATTGCAGTGAGTTAATCCACCCCTTGTGATGGCGACATCCCAAGTTCTGCTGCTTCTCTTTAAAAAAAAAAAAATTTATTTTATCTATTTGAGAGATAGTGTTACTGAGGGAGAGGCAGAGACAGAGAGAGAGGTCTTCCATCTGCTGATTCACTCCCAAAATGGCTACAACAGCCAGGGCTGAGCCAGGATGAAGCCAGAAGCCAGGAGCTTCTTCCAGGTCTCCTATTTGATGCAGGGGCCCAGGCACTTGGGTCATCCTCTGTGGCTTTCCCTAGTGCATGGGCAGGGAGCTAGATCAGAAATGGAGCAGCCATTACTTAAACCAGCGCCCACATGGGATGCTGGTATTACACAGGCAGTGGCTTTACCAGCCACACTACAACACCAGTTCCTGCTGCTTCACTTCTGATCCAGTTTCCTGCTAATGCATCTGAGAGGCACTGGAGACTGGCCCAAGTACTTGGGCCCCTGTTGTCCAAGTTGGAAAGTGGGATGGATATGACTCCTGGCCCAATCCTGGCTGTTGCAGACATCTGGGGAGTGAACCAGCAATTGGAAGATCTCTGTCTTTTCCTGTCTGACACTCTACCTTTCAAATAAATAAAATAAATCTTTTAAAAAATAAAATACATTTTTTAAAATATTTATTTGAAAGGCAGAGAGAGGGAGAGACCGAGATCTGGCATCTGCTGGTTCATTCCCCAAATGGCTGCAAACGCCTGGGCTGAGTGAGGCCAAAGCCTGGAACCAGGAGCCAAGAGCGTCATCTGGGTCTCCCATGTGGGTTTAGGGGCCCAAGTACTTGGGCCACCCTTTGCAGTTTTCCCAGGCACATCAGCAGGGAGCTGAATCAGAAGCAAGTCAGCATGGGCCGGCGCCATGGCTCAATAGGCTAATCCTCCACCTTGCAGAGCCAGCACACCGGGGCACACGGGGTTCTAGTCCCGGTCGGGGCGCCGGATTCTGTCCCGGTTGCCCCTCTTCCAGGCCAGCTCTCTGCTGTAGCCTGGGAGTGCAGTGGAGGATGGCCCAAGTACTTGGGCCCTGCACCCGCATGGGAGACCAGGAGAAGCACCTGGCTCTTGCCTTCGGATCAGCGCCGTGCGCCGGCTGCAGCGCGCCTGCCGCAGCGGCCATTGGAGGGTGAACCAACGGCAAAAGGAAGACCCTTCTCTCTCTCTCTCTCTCGCTGTCCACTCTGCCTATAAAAAATAAAAAGAAAGGCAGCAGGGACTAGAATCAGTGCCTGTATGGGATGCTGGCATTGCAAGCAGCAGCTTAAGCCATTATGCCAAAATGCAGGCCCCAAAAGAATCTTTATAATGGTATACAAGGTATACTCCTTTTTGGCTTCCCTTTCTCTGATCTCCTTTTTTTTTTTCTTTTCTTTTTTCTTTTTTTTTTTTTATTAACTCAACAGAGTTAGACAGCGATAGAGAGACAGAAAGGTCTTCCCTCCGTTGGTTCACCCCCCAAATGGCTGCTACGGCAGTCACTACGCCAATCCAAAACCAGGAGCCAGGTGCTTCCTCCCGCTCTCCCATGCGGGTGCAGGTGCCCAAGCACTTGGGCCATCCTCCACTGCCTTCCTGGGCCACAGCAGAGAGCTGGATTGGAAAAGGAGCAACCAGGACTAGAACCCGGTGCCCATATGGGATGCCGGCGCCACAGGCGGAGGATTAACCAAGTGAGCCACAGTGCCGGCGACTATGTCGGCGCTAAGTCTTTTTTTTTTTTTTTTTTTTTTACAGGCAGAGTGGACAGTGAGAGAGAGAGACAGAGAGAAAGGTCTTCCTTTGCCGTTGGTTCACCCTCCAATGGCCGCCGCGGCTGGCGCGCTGCGGCTGGCTTACCGCGCTGATTCAATGGCAGGAGCCAGGTACTTATCCTGGTCTCCCATGGGGTCCACTGCCTTCCCAGGCCACAGCAGAGAACTGGCCTGGAAGAGGGGCAACCGGGACAGAATCCGGCACCCCGACCAGGACTAGAACCTGGTGTGCCGGCGCCGTAAGGCGGAGGATTAGCCTAGTGAGCTGCGGTTCTGGCCTCTAATGTCCTTTGATCAACACTTGCCTGAGTCATAGGTCTTGCTGTTATGCTTTGAACAGACCAGGCCTTCTCTAGCTTTGCAGGTTTTGCTTTAGCTTTACATTCCACCTGCAATGCTCCCCCTTAGACATCAATTTGCTAAACTCCCTTGCATCCTCAAGTGTTTGCATCCTTTTTAATCCTGCACATACCCCACTTCACATCTCTGCATGCTCTCCCTTTCACTGCTTCTTGGGCATTCACCACTTTCTAGCATACAATATAACTTTTTAATTTTGTTTACTGTCTTTCTCCCCACAATTCCCCAAGCAATGTGAATTCCAGGAGGACACACATCTTTATTTTGTTCTGTGATGTATACCAAGCACAAAGCAGGCACATAGCTGGCACTCCAATATTCCTGGCAGGAATGAATGTCCTTTTTCTCAGAAGAAAAAAATCACCAATTTTTACAAGATTCATTTATTCGTATTTGAAATGCAGAGTGACAAAGAAAAGGGGGGAGAGAGGGAGAAAGCGAGAGATCTTACATCTGCTGGTTCACTCCCCAAACCGACAGCCAAGGCTGGGCACATCAAAGCCACGAGCCTGGAACAACATCCAGGTATACTGGTGTTACAGTCTACAAATCTTACTTTCTGTAAGTCCTCATAATGTAAGACTTTTAAAATTTCCAGCCTTAATTAAGTGATGACAATTCAGACAAGCAATTATGGGAATGCAAAGATTGAAACATCTCTTGGGAAAAGAACTGTGGCACAAAGCAGTTTAAGCCACTGCTTAGCATGCCCACAGCCAGTATAAAAGTGCTGGTTGCAGTTCTCATTCTTCCTCTTACAATCCAGGGAATCAGCAGGTGACTCCCACTTGAGAGACCTGGATGGAGTTCGCAGCTTCTAGCTTTGGCCTGGCACAGCCCTGCTAGTTATAGGCATGTGGTGAGTGAATCAGCGGATGGAAGATCTCTCTTTGTTGCTCTACTTTTCAAACAAATAAAAATAAATATCTCTGAAAAGATTTAAAGGTGTCTTTATAAGTAGGCAGAAAGCACAGGAACCTGTGGCTCCACAGTCATACTAACAGCCGAGCTTGTCAAGTAGTTCTGGCAGTTTAAAACAGTTTAAAGAGAATCACCGGAAGCAGATTTGGCTGTAAAGTTTAACAAAGCTTTCCAGTCATCTTTAAAAAGCTAACCTCTAGTAACTGTTTTCCTATAAGCAAACAGTGAAATCCAATTCTACATTTGGTCACCTACGGTCTTTGTAAAACGAAGAGGTATCCAGCGAGTTGCGTTAAAACCTGGGGTCTTTCTACGCGGTCCCAACCCTGAAGGACACTCTTCTAGTTCAGTCCTTCCACCTGCCCGGCTTCTCCCACGACAGCCCAAGGCCCGCTCCCCAGGACCCGGCTGTCACCAGCTAGGTGACTATCACTAGAAAGAGGTTTCAGCAGGGCACTGTAGCATATGCTTGCAACTGCCCTGCCCGCGACCCTGCCCCGGCGACCAGGTCCTGCGGACGGACACCCACCTCCGGCCAGGAAGGAGCGCAGCCAATAGAAGTCTCGGCGGGCGGTGGACCCTCCAGCCCCTGCCGCCTGCGGCATTGCGGGAGGGGGGTCGGCCGCTGCCAGGGCCGCCGCGGCTGCCGCCATCAGGAAAGGGCCGCGTCGGGAACTGCGGTTGCCAACTCACAAAGCACAAGCCAGGACCATGACAAGAACTGGCTGTGCCAGGGTGCCGACCGCCGCGCGGGCGGGGCCGAATACACCAAGCAGGGCGGCGCGGCGCGGCGCGGCGCGTGTTGATGGCGTGACCGTGGGGCGGGGCCTGGGTCGCGGCCGGAAGTGCTCCGGGAGGAGCGGGGTGACCGACGAGGCGAGAGCTCCGTAGGGGGCGTCCCCAAACCCCCTACTGCCTGCTTCCTTTTGCAGACCCCTTCTGTGCTGACTGAGGGAGAGAAGGATGGTCTGCGGGAGGGCCCCATCGAAGTCAACTGCCTCGGAAAATTCTCCTTCGAACATTGACCTATATTAGCCGCTAACCTGCACAGGGCTAAAATGCACTCTTTTATAACCACGTTAGGGCACCTCACCCACTCCAGGCATCTCTGAACTTGCTCCCATTTCCCACCTAATTGCTCTGGCTTCTCAGAGCTGGTCCCTGAACCTCAGTTTCTGCCCTGCCTAAATTTCCATTAAGCTTCTGGTCCATCCTTAGGACCTCTGCCCACTCCACCCCATCTCCAAATTGCTAAGCCAGGTTATTCTTTTACCTGGGACCCTTAACACAAACAGCTCTGCCATTGTGTTTGTGCCTTCTGCTTAGTTCTGAAATTCTGCTGAGCTGTACTCTACCGACCCCAAGACTGCCCCCACCCAAGTCTTAGGAACCTGTAATTTCTTCTCCCTTGTCCTGCTGCCCTACAAGGCTCTATTTCTTTTCCTTTTTCAATTATTTATTTATTTGAAAGACTGGTCCAGAGCCGGCTCTGTGGCGCAGCAGGTTAAAGCCCTGGCCTGAATCACCGGCATCCCATATGGGCGCCAGTCCTAGTCCCGGCTGCTCCACTTCTGATCCAGCTCTCTGCTGTGGCCTGGGAAAGCAGTAGAAGATGCCCAAGTCCTTGGGCCCCTGCACCCACGTGGGAGACCTGGAAGAAGCTCCTGGCTCCTGGCTTCGTATCAGTGCAGCTCCAGCTGTTGCAGCCAGCTGGGGAGTGAACCAGCGGATGGAAGACCTCTCTCTCTCTCTCTCTCTCTCTCTGTAACTCTTTCAAATAAATAAAATAAATATTAAAAAAAGAAAAGAAAAGAAAAATAAAGAGTGGTCTGTCATCCTCTGGTGCATTCCCCAAATATCAGTAACAGCTAGGGCTGGGCAGAGCTGAAGCTGAAATTCATCCGGGATCTCCTAGGAGGGTGACACTGACCCATCACCTGATGCCTACCAGGTTGTGCACTGGCTGGAAGCTAGAATCAGGCGTGGAGCTGAGACTCACATGCAGGCATTCTCTATGGGAAGTCCTAAGTGGCATCTTAACGGCTAGGTGAGATATAAAACCTAAGACTCTATTGCAGGGCCCTGTGTTGTGGTACAGCAGGTTAAGCCACCACTTGGGATGCCCCCTTGGAGCGGCAGCTGCTCTGTTTCTGATCCAGCTCCTCCTAGGGCACCTAGGAAGCCACAGAAGATGGTCCAAGTATTTAGGCCCTTGCTACCCATGTGGGAGGTCAGGATGGAGTCCTTGGCTCCTAGATTCAGCCTGGCCCAGACATAGCTGTTGCAGCCACTTAGGGAGTGAACCAGTGAAAGGAAAAAATCTCTCTCCCTCCCTCTGTCCTTCTCTCTCTCTTTTTCTCTGCCTTTAAATAAATAATTTTTTTAGAAGATTTATTTTATTTATTTCAAAGGCAGAGTTAGAGAGAGGGGGAGAGACTGAGAGACAGGTTTTCCACCCACTGGTTCACATTCAAAATGGCTGCAATGGCCAGGGCTGGGCCAGGCCAAAGCCAGGAGACCCTTCTGGGTCTTCCACATGGGAGCAGGGGCCCAAACACTTGGGCCATCCTCTACTGCTTTCCCAGACACATTAGCAAGGAACTGGATCGGAAGCAGAACAGTGGGGATTCAAACCGGTGCCTATATGGGATGCTGGTGCTGCATGCAACAGCTTAACCTACTATACCACAGGCCGGCCCCACATAAATCTTTATTTATTTATTTATTTTGACAGGTAGAGTTAGACAGAGAGAGATAGACAGAGAGAAAGGTCTTCCTTCCGTTGGTTCACCCCCCAAATGGTTGCTACAGCTGGCGTGCTGCACCGATCCAAAGCCAGGAGCCAGGTGCCCCTTCCTGGTCTCCCATGGGGTGCAGGGCCCAAGTACTTGGGCCATCCTCCACTGCACTCCCTGGCCACAGCAGAGAGCTGGACTGGAAGAGGAGCAACCAGGACAGACCCCAGCGCCCCAACCATGACTAGAACCCGGGGTGCCGGTGCCGCTGGTGGAGGATTAGCCAAGTGAGCTGCGGCGCCAGCCAAATCATAAATCTTTTTTAAAAGTATCTATTGGGGCTGGCGCTATGGTGTAGTGGGTAAAGCCGCTGCCTGCAGTGCCAGCATCCCATATGGGTGCCAGTTCGAGTCCCGGCTGCTCCACTTCCGATCCAGCTCTCTGCTATGGCCTGGGAAAGTCCCTGGGCCCCTGCACCCGCGTGGAAGACCTGGAAGAAACTCCTGGCTCCTGTCTTCAGACTGGCCCAGCTCCAGCCATTACGACCACTGGGGGAGTGAAGCAGTGAATATAAGACTTTCTCTCTTGGCCGGCACCGCGGCTCACTAGGCTAATCCTCCGCCTTGCGGCATCGGCACACCGGGTTCTAGTCCCGGTCCGGGCGCCGGATTCTGTCCCGGTTGCCCCTCTTCCAGGCCAGCTCTCTGCTATGGACCAGGAGTGCAGTGGAGGATGGCCCAAGTGCTTGGGCCCTGCACCCCATGGGAGACCAGGATAAGTACCTGGCTCCTGCCATCGGATCAGCGCAGTGCGCTGGCTGCGGCAGCCATTGGAGGGTGAACCAACGGCAAAGGGAAGACCTTTCTCTCTGTCTCTCTCTCACTATCCACTCTGCCTGTCAAAAAAAAAAAAAAAAGACTTTCTCTCTCTCTGCCTCTGCCTTTCAAACAAATTAAAAACTCTTTGAAAAAAAAATGAAAGTTGATTTACATTATGTCTGAAAAATGATTCCTACTTCATTTACTTCATTTAGCCTGCACAAATTCTCATGTCACAGAGCTCAGTCTGTGTATCTCTCCTGTAATAACACTCACTCTCAGGAGTTTCACCCAGTCTTGGGTTTGTTTGTTTTTAAGATTTTATTTATTTATTTGAGAGGCAGAGCTACAGAGAGAAAAATCTCCCTCCACTGGTTCACTCCCCAAACGGCCCCAAATGGCCATAATGAAGCCAGGATCCAGGAGCTTTTTCTGGATCTCCCACGTGGGTTCAGGAGATATGGGGAAAGGCCATGAGCAGAGAGCTGGATCTGAAGAGGAGCAGCCAAGACATGAACTGGTGTCCATATGGGATGCTGGCCCATATGCCACAGTGCTGGCCCCCAACCTCATTGTTTTAAACACCACCTATCTGCTGCTGCCAACTCTCCATATCCAGTCATCCCTACCCACTCTTCAACGCCGATGATTCACATCTACAACATCTCCATCTGTGTGTGTAACTAGCACATATTTATCATACTCAAAACTAAATTCCCAAAAACAAAACAAACTAAATTCCCGATTTTCTTTGTCAAACATGCTATTCCTGCAGCCTTCCAGTTCTTCAGTGAGTAGCAATGCCATCCTCCCATAAACCTTGATTAATTTCCCAATTTGTCTTCTTGCCTTCTCTTGCCCCCTGCTGTCTGTTCTCCACATAGCAATCAAAGCAATTCTAAAACCTGAAACAAATTTTATCATTCCTCTTCCCAAAATCCTTTGATGGCTTCCAGTTTCACACAGAAGAAGTCCCATTGGGAATGGTCCAGTGAATTCCTCCTGTGCATCTCTGACCTCAACTGGGACTCTGTTCACTCCTTCAGTCGCTCTGGCTGCTGTGTGGTTGCTCCAAACACCAAGCACCTGGGGCAAGTGTTGTAGCAGGGCAGCTTAAGGCCTTGCTTCCGATACCTGCCTGGGGTTGAGTATGGCCTCTGTCTCTGCTTCCTTCCTCCTGACCAGCTTCCTGCTAAAGCTCTGGGAGGCAGCAGATGATGGCCCAAGTACCTGGACCCCTGTCACCTAAGTGGGAGACCTGGATGGAGTCCCTGGCTCCTGCTTTGGCCAGGGTATCCTGGACATCTGGAGAGGTCATTAGTGGATTCTCTCTCTCTCTCTCTCTCTCTCTGCCTTTCACATACATAAATACATCTTAAAACAAATGTGCAAACCAAGCACCCTTCCCCTCAAGGCCTTTGCACAGCTGTTCCTCTGCTCGTACTGCTTTTCCCCTTAGATATCCTGTGTAACTTCCCCTTCCCTCCTAGTCCTTAAAGTCTTTACACAAATGCCACCTTCCCCTAGAGGCTTTTACCAGCTGCTATATCTAAATTCACCACCCACGATACCTCATCTCTACCACAATTCACCCTCTTTCTTCTGCTTTAAATTTTTTCAAAGCATTTTGCAGCCACTCAATATACACATTTATTTATGTGTGAAATATTTTAACTTTATTTATTTGAAAGCAAGACAATCAAAAAGAGATTTTTCACACACTGGTTCATTCCCCAAACAGGCCCAGGCTGAAACCAGGGTTCTACAACTCAATCCATGTCTCCCACATGGGTGGCAGGGCCTCAGTGCTTGAGTCATTACTGCTGCCTCCCAGGTGTGTATTAAACAGGAAGCTGGAATCAAGAGTGGGGCCAGGACATGAACCCAGGCAGCGGATGGGATACGGGCATCTCAAGAAGCATCTTAACCACTATACCAAACACCTGACCCCGAAATGATTTTTCTTTGTTTTTCTTTGAAAGGCAGAGTGACAAAAAGGAAGAGAAAGAGAGAGAGAGAGCATTTTCATCTTCTGGCTCACTCTCCAAATGCCTGCATCAGCCAGGGCTGGAAAAAGCCGAAGTCAGAACCGTCCAGGTCTCCCACATGGGTGGCAGGACCCATGTATTTCGTCCATCGTGTACTGATTCGTAGGTGCACAGCAAAAAGCTGGATTGAAAGCAGAGGCAGGACTTGATGCCAAGTACTCCACCATGGCAAGCAGACATCCCAAGCTGGTGCTTTAACCCCCTGTACA